TCATCAATACCAGCTAACATCAATACCAGCTAACATCATCAATACCAGCTAACATCATCAATACCAGCTAACATCATCAACACCAGCTAACATCATCAATACCAGCTAACATCATCAATACGAGCTAACATCATCAATACCAGCTAACATCATCAATACCAGCAAACATCATCAATACCAGCTAACATCGTCAATACCAGCTAACATCAATACCAGCAAACATCATCAATACCAGTTAACATCAATACCAGCTAACATCAATACCAGCAAACATCATCAATACCAGCTAACATCAATACCAGCTAACATCGTCAATACCAGCTAACATCATCAACACCAGCTAACATCATCAATACCAGCTAACATCGTCAATACCAGCTAACATCATCAATACCAGCTAACATCATCAATACCAGCTAACATCATCAATACCAGCTAACATCACCAATACCAGCTAACATCATCAATACCAGCTAACATCATCAATACCAGCTAACATCATCAATACCAGCTAACATCGTCAACACCAGCTAACATCATCAATACCAGCTAACATCGTCAACACCAGCTAACATCATCAATACCAGCTAACATCGTCAACACCAGCTAACATCATCAATACCAGCTAACATCATCAATACCAGCTAACATCATCAATACCAGCTAACATCATCAATACCAGCTAACATCATCAATACCAGCTAACATCATCAATACCAGCTAACATCATCAACACCAGCTAACATCATCAATACCAGCTAACATCATCAATACCAGCAAACATCATCAATACCAGCTAACATCGTCAATACCAGCTAACATCAATACCAGCAAACATCATCAATACCAGTTAACATCAATACCAGCTAACATCAATACCAGCAAACATCATCAATACCAGCTAACATCAATACCAGCTAACATCGTCAATACCAGCTAACATCATCAACACCAGCTAACATCATCAATACCAGCTAACATCGTCAATACCAGCTAACATCATCAATACCAGCTAACATCATCAATACCAGCTAACATCATCAATACCAGCTAACATCATCAACACCAGCTAACATCATCAACACCAGCTAACATCATCAATACCAGCTACCATCATCAATACCAGCTAACATCAATACCAGCTAACATCATCAATACCAGCTAACATCATCAACACCAGCTAACATCATCAATACCAGCTACCATCATCAATACCAGCTACCATCAATACCAGCTACCATCATCAATACCAGCTAACATCATCAATACCAGCTAACATCATCAATACCAGCTAACATCATCAATACCAGCTAACATCATCAATACCAGCTAACATCGTCAACACCAGCTAACATCACCACACGCCTCGCCAAAGAGAAGCAATTCCAGCCATCGCAATAGGGGTTTGAGTTAATGAAACGTTTGACCAAATATAACAGGGTAATTTTCAAGTTGATATTTTTGTATGGCCCGCGAATGATGTTATAAATACCCAAATGGCCCTTGGCAAAAAAAAAGGTTCCCCACCCCTGCTCTACAGCAACGCATGCATGGGTCTGTGTGCGACATTGTTTGTTACATCGAAGGTGGCAGTGGGGGGAGGGGTAGAGTCCAAACGTTTAGAGCGAGCGCTCTGGCTAATGATATCTGGCCAAATCAACCAGCATTATTTTGTTTATCAAGCCTGACCCTGCAGAGGGTCCCAAAAAGACCGTGAGAGGTGGCGATGGTGGTGGCGGTGGTGGCGGCGGCACGGGGAGGTCTTAATCCAGCAGTGGATTGACCACGGCCGACGAGGACGACACAGTCATTCAGCTCACACGGGGGTTTATTTTTTTTTTTTAAAGCATTGGCTGAGCTCGGCTGGGCAATCTGGAGGGCACAACAAAAGCCAGCGCTGTGGCAATGGAAAGAGCTTGAAGCACCACCGCGCCCGCAACGAATGAATTGCATCGCGGGGCGTGGGGCTCGGAGGGCATTCATCAAGCCCCACCCCCCACGCCTTCAGCCCGTAAACCCTCACGACGCTGGCTGACTGTTCAAGCTGGGCGCGGAGTGCCTTAAAGCTCCCCGCGGCAGGGCGGCTGGGGAAAAAAACACCTCCGCGTCTCCGATTAGCCACGGCCGGCTACGTGCGGTGCGAAGGAAGTCATGCATACATTCCTACTTACTGTACGTACCTTGCCCCTACCAAGGGGCCCGATCGGGCATTCAGATATTAGCTTTGGCGGGCAGCCGCACATTAACGTCCACGCGTCGTTACCTAAATACGAGACACACACGCACGCACACACGCGTCGTTGATGCCACTGGAGCTATGCACTTTTAAATCGTCTCGATTGAAAACTCATTTCTTTCGAAACGATGCGAAAGAATTTCGACGCATAAACACGTACATGCGGAAGTACAAGTCGCAGCCCTGCGATTTCTTGCTCACGCAACTGCTGGTGGAAGGGGCCTCCAACAGAGGAAGCTCAGGATAACCCCTCCCCTCTCTCTCTCTCTCTCTCGAGGGTACTTTGGCCTCCTCTTCCACGCTGACGAGACGTCTTAGAAAAGGTGGGAGTACCCACACTTTACCCCACCACACCGACCTGCCGATCGACTCACCGCAGAAGGAGCGACCGAGAATGGTTAAATGAAACTTGCTTAAATCCATGCAAAATTAAAAATTAATATTTCCCCTCCAGGACCCAATTAGTGCGGCTAAGATGCTCGCAGTGACGGGTAAATATCGTTTGGAGCAAGTGCTGTTAGTGAGCACCTATGAAGGCCGGCACGGCACACGAGGGGGTGGGTGACCAGCACCACGCCCGACCGCCTTTGTCTCCCCTGTGGCGATTTGAGGCCGACCTCGAGGAGGAGGCCCAGGACCGGTACAGATATAATCCGTCACTGCTGTTGGCCGTGATTGGGAATCGAATTCGGGTCGTTTTGTTCGTAGCGCAGCACAGCGCTAACAGCTACACCACCGCTTCCCACACACACATAAACACACTCACACGCGCGCACATTCTAACTCCCCCCCCCACCACCACCCAAAGCAAAATGTTTGGCATCCCTGCGGCAGAGAGCGGAGTGGCTGGACGACGCTGACAATAAAACAAACCGCGTGGCCGCCCTCCCTCTGTCCCTGGCGTCACACAAAGGGGGCCGTGGTGGCATTCCCACGTGACTCTCGGCCCAGCTGTGCACAGGGGAGAACGCGCGGGCGACACACCGACGCGAGTTGATCGCACGCACGTGAGCACCCCCCCCCCACGCCCCCAAGTGCCTCCCACCGCCAGACCGCCTCGTTGTGGGGAGGAGGCGAGGCATGGCAGGGAGGGTAGTTGCTGCTGATGCTGCTGCCTAACCGGAGGGAACGCTGAGGAATGCCCGGCTCCTTTTGTTCCGATTCTGCTCCCCGTGAGAACGCGGCCCCCGCTCTACAGGGGACACCGATAGGCGTACGCGTCCAGCCCGTGTCTTTGCCAATCCACTGCTGGATGGATAAGGACCTCTTTCCCCCCCCCCCCCCCCCACGTGCCGCGTGGCTCGTGGAGGTTTGGTTGGCCGATATCTCGCCGCGGCTCGGGCCAAGGCGGGAAGCGTGCACACGGACGGCATAGATGTACAGTACAACAATGGATATCTATCGTTCGACTGCCCATCACGTATCCCCCACCGCTTAGAACCCCCACCGCTTCCACCCCGCCCCCTGATTTCCCCTCCCTGCCCAAGAAAATCCAAGACAATATGTCTCTTGATAGTCATCGCCCATCCAAGCAATTATCCAGGATCAACGCTGCTTCGCTTTCCAGATCTCACGAGATCGGGAAAATTTCCAGGCGATTCGCTCCATCGGCAGGAGCAAGCAACAAGACGGCATTCTGACGATGACCGCAACCAAAGGTCAAATCAAATTAAAAACATTCCCACCCTGGAGCGATTTACATCGGTCGCCTTCAGATGTACATTTGGAGGTCACGTGGGCCATGGTTTGTAGTTTGTAGCCGTAGGCGAGCAAAAGTCTTTGATTCTGCACTTTAATTATTAACTTCTTAACTCGTGGATCGGGCATCCACATATCCCTTTGAGGTCTTGGAATAGCCGGTAAACCTGGGCGCGGATGTCAAGGGTGACGACCGCGAAACACGAAGAGGCCCGGGTCACGGTTGCTGGCAACGACGCGAGACGTTCGTCGAAAACTGCGGACTGCGATCGCGAAAAAGCGGCGCTCGCTCACTCGCTCCCTCCCTGGCTCGCTCACTCGCTCCCTCCCTGGCTCGCTCACTCGCTCCCTCCCTGGCTCGCTCACTCGCTCCCTCCCTGGCTCGCTCACTCGCTCCCTCCCTGGCTCGCTCACTCGCTCCCTCCCTGGCTCGCTCACTCGCTCCCTCCCTGGCTCGCTCACTCGCTCCCTCCCTGGCTCGCTCACTCGCTCGCTCATTCACACGCTCGCTCCCTCGCTCTCTCATTCACACGCTCGCTCCCTCACTTGCTCATTCACTCGCTCGCTCCCTCACTCGCTCGCTCCCTCACTCGCTCATTCACTCGCTCGCTCCCTCACTCACTCGCACGCTCGCTCCCTCACTCGCTCATTCACTCGCTCGCTCCCTCACTCACTCGCACGCTCGCTCCCTCACTCGCTCATTCACTCGCTCGCTCCCTCACTCACTCGCACGCTCGCTCCCTCACTCGCTCATTCACTCGCTCGCTCCCTCACTCACTCGCACGCTCGCTCCCTCACTCGCTCATTCACTCGCTCGCTCCCTCACTCACTCGCACGCCGGCCTTCCCTCGCGATCGTTGGCGAGCGTCAATAATTCAGAGGCAATCAGCAGCGCCCCGACAATCGGGAAGGCACGGGGCCGCCAGAGGTTTCACTTCTCACCGTGCGCCTCCTTCTCCCGTCGCAGAACAACAGCGCCGCACGAATTACACGGGGATGGGATGGGGGGTGATGGGGGTGGAGTGATGGGGGGGTGATGGGGGTGGGGTGATGGGGGGGGTGATGGGGGTGGAGTGATGGGGGGGGTGATGGGGGTGGAGTGATGGGGGGGTGATGGGGGTGGGGTGATGGGGGGGTGATGGGGGGGGTGATGGGGGGGGTGATGGGGGGGGGGGTGATGGGGGGGGGGGGGTGATGGGGGGGGGGTGATGGGGGGGGGGTGATGGGGGGGGTGATGGGGGGGGTGATGGGGGGGGTGATGGGGGGGGTGATGGGGGGGGTATCACCGCAGCCCATCCTGAACAAGCCGACGGTGCTCTCTCTCTCTCGTTCTGCATCAGGTTTCTGGCAGAAATATTCCGCGTCGGTGCACGCGTTGCGTTCTCGTCGGGGTTGCGCCTGCCCGGCGTCCTTTTTGCCTGCATCTCGCCGCTCTGATATCGCTGATAGCGCTGATAGCGCGCGCATTCTTCTCTGATGACACCAGCGCGATAATCTGCCGACGCATCTGGCGATCGAGACATTGACACCCCCCCCCCCCTCCTCCTCTGCCAACATCTTGTCGGAATGAATCTTAGGATTGTGTTTTATTCCGGTTTGTTGTTGTTGTTGTTTTACCGACAGGACCAGTCGTACCGCATTCCTTCCCAGACGCGACTTGAGCAAATCGCCCGGAATGCGCCCAATCTCGCTGCGTCTCGGAAGTCCGAGGCGGTCTGAGCTTGCCGAGCACTTGACCGTGCGCTCCCGCGACCGTCATCCTGCCCGTCGCCCCCCCCACCCACCAACACACCTCCGATGAGCGCGGTCGGCTCCGTACGGTGCGAAAGAAGTTCAGCGTTACGTACGCACTCGCACAGGACGCCGGGCCGCGAGACGACGTTGGCCCCAGGGAAGGCATCGCCACGAAACTCCACGTAGTCGTCGGACCGCGATTCCGCGCGCCCGCCGACACGCACGCACAGACGCTGGGAAGGCGGGGGGAGCTCCTCATCCAGCAGTGGAGCGGGGGGGAGGGGGGGTGCCGGATGAAGCTAGTGCGGGGCCTGTAGCATTTGTTATAAAGGGACCCTGAATCAAATAAAACAAACACGTTAATATTAGAACACATACATTTTTTACTTGCATAGTAAAGTAATTGTATTTTTTCATTTGCTATACAGCCAGACAATACGACAAATCGCTAACCTCAAACACCCAGTCGTCGTTCATAAAAGTTGAAGGCGGTAGAGTACTATAGTAATAGAGCAAGTTCAGAATCACTGAGCCGGAATTGATACATTGAAAGCATTTTGATTTAAAGCTTTCGTGACTGCAGGGATTCATATTCTTGGTTCTTTCGGTAAAGTCTACGTGACTTTACCGAAAGAACCAGCAATAAGATTGAAAGCATTTAACGCAGGGCCCTTGAAAGTGCGGGGTCAGTAGCTGCTAAATGTCTCTACTTGTGCTACGAGGATCATCCGGCACTCGGGGAGGTGGGGGGGGGATGGGGGTGTTAGGGGGGGGAGGCTCTCAGTCTCTCGTGGAGTTCCCCTGCACCACGGGCGTGAGCGGCAGTGGGCTACGCTGTCCGGAGTCGCTGCGGCAAAGCCCGTCGTTGTCCTGTACTTCTACGTTCCGCCGCGCGTGCTCCAAGACCTTCACCATCCCACGGTGAAGCGGACTGCGGTCGACGAATCATCCGCGGTGGGATCACAACCCCGCGTCCATCTCGTGCAGGCAGATCCCAGGCAGTGGGCCCCGTGGCGATGCGATGGTTCAGAATCAAACGCGTATGCCCACTCCGCCTTCTTGGGTGGCATCCTACCTCGAAGAATCGGAGGTTGTTGTTATTGTTCAGTGCGTGCCGACGAGTCAACTAGCGATTATCCGGGCTTATGGGGTTGTTGGGTGAGTGGAGGTGGCCTGAGTGTTAAAAACATGCAAAATGCAAATCGTAAGCAAATTAGGCTATGAAAATAAATGTATCATCGACGCAGGGGAGGGTGTGAGCGCATAGAATGTGCGACTGTTCGTTTGTGCCGTCACAGGACGCCCGGGCAATGAATTGTCTTTGGGGCCATGCTGAAATAAGTAAACAAATAAGTAAACAAATAAGTAAACAAAGAGACCATTCTGGCGCCCTGAAGTGATCGGTCACCGAGTCACGAGCGGGCAGTGACCGAGAGTAGAACCGGCTTCACCACCTCGCGCCGAACGGCGTCGTGAAGCATGGCCACAAAACCCCCGTGCGTTGCGTGTGCGCGTGTGTGCACGTGTGCGTGCGTGCGTGTGTGCGTGTGTGTGCACGTGTGCGTGCGTGCGTGTGTGCGTGTGTGAGCGCGTGTGTGAGCGCGCGTATGTGACGTGGCGTGCGGGAGCATAAAACTCAACGCGTTCCTTAATAAGGAACAAAACACATGACGGACAACGTTTCGGGCAATGGCCCTTCTTCAGAGCACGCGTATTCACCCAGCACTAGATTGACACATGCCAGTAACAAGTGGCGTAGCCGTCGAGCGTGCAGGCGGTGCAACTGCACCAGGGCCCACGGGTCGAAGGGGAGGAACTAGGGGGCTGGGGTGACAAAAAGGGAGGGGCGGGAAGGGGTGGGACAGATCATTTATTTATTTATTCTCCCACCAGCCTAACCCGTCGAGGTAGTCCACCGTGTTTAGAAGGGGGGCCATTTCATTCCTTGCACCAAGACGACGCAATGGGGGGGGGGGGGGGGGGGTGCACACCGCTGGCTCTCGACCCAGGATTACCGCACCTCCGATTGGCACGGTTGGCAAAGGGCGGTGAAGAAATAAGTTCAACTATGTTTCACTTTGCCGGCTAAGGCCAACTGGGTTGTGTGGTGCTCTTTCAGGAGCGACCTGGCCGCAAATGGTGGCTCGACGAAGGGGCTGATCATCACGTGGAGATGTCTAGCAGCCAAATACTCTTGCACGCGTGTTGATTCTAAATGCGGGGGGGGGGGGGGACCGGAGGACCCGGAGGGAAATCCACGCGACCACGGGGAGCGCAGAGACATGCGAACTCCAAATACACATTTGTTAAGGTCGGGTTCGATCCCACGACCCACCTGTATATCAGGTGAGGTGGCTAACATCTCGCCACCGTGGTAATAGCACGGACTACTACCACTGCCATCGCTACGGGCACCAAACACCTACCGCGACAGCATTGGTCGTGATTTCATATCTGGAATGAGTAATGCCGTCCTGCGACGAGACAACCGGGAACCAGGCGCAGCCAGAGAGGGGCTCCACGGTGGTTCGGGAGATGTTAACTACCTCGTCTGGTATGCAGGAGGTCGTGGGTTAGATTCCCACCCTGACGCCTGCTGCTGGATATTTGGAGTTAGCCATGTGTCTTTCTCCTCGTGTGTTGCGTGGATTTTTCTCCCCCCTCCAAATTTAGAATCGACATCACGTGTTCAGAGAATTTGGCTGCTGCTGCTGTAAATTCCCACGTGATGGTGATGATAGGTCCACTTCGGCGAGCTATCATTTGTGATAGCCAGGTCGCTTCTGAAAAGGAGCTACGTAGCTCAGTGGGAGCCTTACCTGGTGAAATAACAAAACATAAGTTTCAGCGTAGTAGGTGGAGTGGGGGGCCTGGCACGGTCCAGGGTTTACCGCCCACGAGATCCGGCTTACTGCAGCTTAAACGTCGGCATGTTGCTCGTGCCTGCGTGTGTCCCTGTACGGTCCACCGAGGTCTGCATCGTTTCAGAAGCGCAGCTTCACGTGTGGCTTCTTGTTTGGGGGGGGGGAGGCGGTAGAGGGGGGTGGAGGGGGTTGATGGGGTCCCAGTTTGCGACAGCGGTGGGAAAAGCAAATGGCAAAAAGAACCGCGGCTTTAACCGTGGGGCATTTTCTCACGGTCGGGTTGGGGGGTGGGGGGAGGACGAGGAGAGGTCGGCCCACATTAGTTTGTGTCCCGTCAGAGGGGGGGGGGGGGGGGGGGGGGGAAGTAAAAAAACGTTTTGACCGGATCCCAAAAAAAAGCGTGCACATCTATCGGTTAAAAAAAGCGACCCCCTGTCAAACCTTCAGGTAAACATCCCACGGGGGTTGTGCCAGCGAGATTTACAGGGGCTGCTCCCTCCCCGGCCTCGCCGTGCTGTCTCGAGTGGCGCACCGTGTCCCGCCGCTTCACTCCGAGCGCTGCGGAGGGATTCTTCGGGCGCCTGGAGCGCAAACGTCGGGGGACGTCGGGGGACGTCGGGGGACGTCGGGGGACGTCGGGGGACGTCGGGGGACGTCGGGGGACGTCGGGGGACGTCGGGGGACGTCGGGGGGACGTCGGGGGACGTCGGGGGACGTCGGGGGACGTCGGGGGACGTCGGGGGGACGTCGGGGGACGTCGGGGGACGTCGGGGGACGTTGTGCCGTGCCGCAAAAAAAAAAACGCGCGCGCGGCAACGACGCCGAAAACGCATCGGCGAGCTCCGCTCCCCAAGCACGACCTCGGGACACAAAGATAACCCCGCGCAGGAGTGGCGTGGTTGGCGTGCGCCCTGGCGCAAGGAATTAATTGTCCAATTCCTCCTCCTTCCCCTCCCCTCCTTCTCCTCTTTGTAGTCAGGCGCCTGCGTCCCTTCCATCTCCGGCCTGTGGTCCCCCGGTGCAGCTGCACCGCCTGCACACTTAAAAGATAGCTACGTCACTGCCACCAACAAGCCAGTGAGCAAAGTGAACTCACGGCTGAGATTTGGAGCCTCCCGGCTGGATGTCCCATAAGTCACTGCGGGTGAGGGGGGGGGGGGAGGGATTTCAAAGGAGCTTTCTCTGTGCATCGCCGACAATCTACAAATAGCCAAGATGGACCTCACAGTGGTCGCAGCGCAATGATTGGCAGAGCCACACACGGTACATGTCACCTGGTTCTGCTCACCAGGGAGAGGAGAACCTGCAGCCCGCGAGCCGGGTGTGACCCGCAGCTTCGTTTCATACGGCCCGTGGCTTCCGTGAGTCTCCATGCGAGTTTGTGGGTCTCCATGCGAGTTTGTGGGTCTCTATGCGGGTCCATGAGCCTCCATGTGAATCGATATCATCTCGAACCACGGCCCAAAGTAACTCCATCGTTCGCCGGCAGAATTTCAGATATTCACCAGGCCACTCCCGAATCGGACTCTGTGTAATTCTATGGGTATCTGTGCAAGTCTCTTGGTTTTCCAAGTGAGTCTAGGGGTGTCCAATTAAGCCGATGAAACTCCATCAGAGTCGATCATTCGCTAGCAGCGTTGCAAATATTCGTTGGATGACTCCCGAATCCGTCCACTGGCTCATCCCCCCCAACCTCGACACGAACGTAAAAACATCGCTGATCAAACTCCCCGTCACTGGCAAGAAGAACACAGTCTCCGAGATGAAGCCATCACAATCACCGACCACTGCCCTGCATCACAGCAGTCCGCAAACAGACGGCCAAGGGCTTAACTTCATACCGGGTCTGTCCAGGTCAGCGACCCGGTATATATTTTCGCACCCGGCACACCATATCCAGGATACCTCTCGCTCTGGCTTGCGGCTACGACTTGCCACGTGCCACCTACTTCCAGACTCGGACTTTAATCCGACTGGTAGGCAGCTCCGGCAGAAGATCGTCGGCGGTTGCGGGAGCTACAGAGGGCACTTGGGGGTGGGGGCATGGAAACTAACAAGTCGACCAGATAACCGGGGAAATATTCCACGAGGAATTAACCCCTGGTTAAGGCTAAGCATGGCTCGCACACACACAAAGACACCGTCTCCCACCCTACTGTGTCACCATCTCCCACCCCGCTGTGTCACCATCTCCCACCCCGCTGTGTCACCATCTCCCACCCTACTGTGTCACCATCTCCCAACCCGCTGTGTCACCATCTCCCACCCCGCTGTGTCACCATCTCCCACCCCGCTGTGTCACCATCTCCCACCCCAGCTGTGTCACCATCTCCCACCCTGCTGTGTCACCATCTCCCACCCTGCAGTGTCACCATCTCCCACCCCGCCGTGTCACCATCTCCCACCCTGCTGTGTCACCATCTCCCACCCTACCGTGTCACCATCTCCCACAACAGCTGTCACCATCTCCCACCCCGCTGTGTCACCATCTCCCACCCCGCTGTGTCACCATCTCCCACCCCGCTGTGTCACCATCTCCCACCCCGCTGTGTCACCATCTCCCACCCCGCTGTGTCAACATCTCCCACCCTACTGTGTCACCATCTCCTACCCCGCCGTGTCAACATCTCCCACCCTGCTGTGTCACCATCTCCTACCCTGCCGTGTCACCATCTCCCACCCTGCTGTGTCACCATCTCCCACCCCGCTGTGTCACCATCTCCCACCCTACCGTGTCACCATCTCCCACAACAGCTGTCACCATCTCCCACCCTGCTGTGTCACCATCTCCTACCCTACCGTGTCACCATCTCCCACCCTACTGTGTCACCATCTCCTACCCTGCCGTGTCACCATCTCCTACCCCGCCGTGTCACCATCTCCCACCCTAATGTGTCACCATCTCCTACCCCGCCGTGTCACCATCTCCCACACCAGCCGTGTCACCATCTCCCACCCTACTGTGTCACCATCTCCCACCCCGCTGTGTCACCATCTCCCACCCCGCTGTGTCACCATCTCCCACCCCGCTGTGTCACCATCTCCCACCCCGCTGTGTCACCATCTCCCACCCCGCTGTGTCAACATCTCCCACCCTACTGTGTCACCATCTCCCACCCCGCCGTGTCAACATCTCCCACCCTGCTGTGTCACCATCTCCTACCCCGCCGTGTCACCATCTCCCACCCTGCCGTGTCACCATCTCCCACCCCGCTGTGTCACCATCTCCTACCCTACGGTGTCACCATCTCCCACCCTGCTGTGTCACCATCTCCCACCCCGCTGTGTCACCATCTCCCACCCAGCCGTGTCACCATATCCCACCCCGCCGTGTCACCATCTCCCACCCCGCTGTGTCACCATCTCCCACCCCGCTGTGTCTCCATCTCCTACGCCGCCGTGTCACCATCTCCCACCCTCCTGTGTCACCATCTCCCACCCTACCGTGTCACCATCTCCCACCCTACTGTGTCACCATCTCCCACCCTGCTGTGTCACCATCTCCCACCCCGCTGTGTCACCATCTCCCACCCAGCCGTGTCACCATCTCCTACCCCGCCGTGTCACCATCTCCCACCCCGCTGTGTCACCATCTCCCACCCTACTGTGTCACCATCTCCCACCCCGCTGTGTCACCATCTCCCACCCCGCTGTGTCACCATCTCCCACCCCGCTGTGTCACCATCTCCCACCCCGCTGTGTCACCATCTCCCACCCCGCTGTGTCAACATCTCCCACCCTACTGTGTCACCATCTCCTACCCCGCCGTGTCAACATCTCCCACCCTGCTGTGTCACCATCTCCTACCCCGCCGTGTCACCATCTCCCACCCTGCCGTGTCACCATCTCCCACCCCGCTGTGTCACCATCTCCTACCCTACTGTGTCACCATCTCCCACCCTGCTGTGTCACCATCTCCCACCCCGCTGTGTCACCATCTCCCACCCTACCGTGTCACCATATCCCACCCCGCTGTGTCACCATCTCCCACCCCGCTGTGTCACCATCTCCCACCCCGCTGTGTCTCCATCTCCTACGCCGCCGTGTCACCATCTCCCACCCTACTGTGTCACCATCTCCCACCCTACCGTGTCACCATCTCCCACCCTACTGTGTCACCATCTCCCACCCTGCTGTGTCACCATCTCCCACCCAGCTGTGTCACCATCTCCCACCCAGCCGTGTCACCATCTCCTACCCCGCCGTGTCACCATCTCCCACCCCGCTGTGTCACCATCTCCCACCCTACCGTGTCACCATCTCCCACCCCGCTGTGTCACCATCTCCCACCCCGCCGTGTCACCATCTCCGACCCCGCCGTGTCACCATCTCCCACCCCGCTGTGTCACCATCTCCCACCGTACTGTGTCACCATCTCCCACCCCGCCGTGTCACCATCTCCCACCCTAATGTGTCACCATCTCCCACCCTACCGTGTCACCATCTCCCACCCCGCCGTGTCACCATCTCCCACCCTGCTGTGTCACCATCTCCCACCCCGCTGTGTCACCATCTCCCACCCTGCTGTGTCACCATCTCCCACCCTACTGTGTCACCATCTCCCACCCCTCTGTGTCACCATCTCCCACCCCTCTGTGTCACCATCTCCCACCCTGCCGTGTCACCATCTCCCACCCCGCCGTGTCACCATCTCCCACCCTACTGTGTCACCATCTCCCACCCTGCTGTGTCACCATCTCCTACCCTACCGTGTCACCATCTCCCACCCTACTGTGTCACCATCTCCCACCCCGCTGTGTCACCATCTCCCACCCTACTGTGTCACCATCTCCCACCCAGCCGTGTCACCATCTCCCACCCTGCTGTGTCACCATCTCCCACCCCGCTGTGTCACCATCTCCCACCCAGCCGTGTCACCATCTCCTACCCCGCCGTGTCACCATCTCCCACCCCGCTGTGTCACCATCTCCCACCCTACCGTGTCACCATCTCCCACCCCGCTGTGTCACCATCTCCCACCCCGCCGTGTCACCATCTCCTACCCCGCCGTGTCACCATCTCCCACCCCGCTGTGTCACCATCTCCCACCGTACTGTGTCACCATCTCCCACCCCGCCGTGTCACCATCTCCCACCCTAATGTGTCACCATCTCCCACCCTACCGTGTCACCATCTCCCACCCCGCCGTGTCACCATCTCCCACCCTACTGTGTCACCATCTCCCACCCCGCTGTGTCACCATCTCCCACCCTGCTGTGTCACCATCTCCCACCCTACTGTGTCACCATCTCCCACCCCGCTGTGTCACCATCTCCCACCCTACTGTGTCACCATCTCCCACCCAGCCGTGTCACCATCTCCCACCCCGCCGTGTCACCATCTCCCACCCTACTGTGTCACCATCTCCCACCCTGCTGTGTCACCATCTCCTACCCTACCGTGTCACCATCTCCCACCCTACTGTGTCACCATCTCCCACCCCGCTGTGTCACCATCTCCCACCCTGCTGTGTCACCATCTCCCACCCCGCTGTGTCACCATCTCCCACCCTGCTGTGTCACCATCTCCCACCCTGCCGTGTCACCATCTCCCACCCCGCTGTGTCACCATCTCCTACCCCGCTGTGTCACCATCTCCCACCCTACTGTGTCACCATCTCCCACCCCGCTGTGTCACCATCTCCCACCCCGCCGTGTCACCATCTGCCACCCTACTGTGTCACCATCTCCCACCCCGCCGTGTCACTATCTCCTACCCTACTGTGTCACCATCTCCCACCCCGCCGTGTCACCATCTCCCACCCTGCTGTGTCACCATCTCCCACCCTACTGTGTCACCATCTCCCACCCTACTGTGTCACCATCTCCCACCCTGCTGTGTCACCATCTCCCACCCCGCCGTGTCACCATCTCCCACCCCGCCGTGTCACCATCTCCCACCCCGCTGTGTCACCATCTCCCACCCCGCCGTGTCACCATCTCCCACCCCGCCGTGTCACCATCTCCCACCCTACTGTGTCACCATCTCCCACCCCGCCGTGTCACCATCTCCCACCCTGCTGTGTCACCATCTCCTACCCCGCTGTGTCACCATCTCCTACCCTACTGTGTCACCATCTCCCACCCTACTGTGTCACCATCTCCCACCCCGCCGTGTCACCATCTCCCACCCTACTGTGTCACCATCTCCCACCCCGCCGTGTCACCATCTCCTACCCTACTGTGTCACCATCTCCCACCCTACTGTGTCACCATCTCCCACCCTGCCGTGTCACCATCTCCCACCCCGCCGTGTCACCATCTCCCACCCTGCTGTGTCACCATCTCCTACCCCGCCGTGTCACCATCTCCCACCCCGCTGTGTCACCATCTCCCACCCTGCTTGCACCGCACAGACAAAGCGAGCTGGAAGAGACGCAGTGCCTGGCACTGACAACTACCCGCGCCCG